TGGCTGCACTCTGTCCATTGCGTGGCTAAACCGAGGTGCCTGGGCGCACGGGTGCAGGGCAGGGAGAAGCAGCCAGGCGTCCTGGAGGAGAGGAGGGAAGGCCCCGTCCCATCTCCCAGCCTCCAGGACTACGGCAAGATGGCAGAGGGGCCACCAGCCCCCTCCCTGCGTAGAGGGGAATGTCCAGGTCCCCCAGGCTCTCACCCATTCTGCACATCCACAACCAGCGCCCGGGGCTCCCGCAGGCCTGAGTTCACCAGCACAGTGCGGTAGGCACCATTGAGCTTCGACACCTCAATGGTGTCCCGACCTTTGTCGCACCAGTACAGGTTGCCTCCCACCCAGTCCACAGCCAGCCCGTCAGGGTTGCTGAGGCCAGTGCGGTGAAGAACCTGTTGGGAGAAAACAGAGATGTTGGGGCTGGACAGGAAGCACCTGCCCTGGTCCCTCAGGGATGACAACATCCCCCTTCCTGGCACATCGCCCCTGCAGACTTTCCTCGCTCCTCTCTTCCTCCAGCCCTCCTTACCCACTGCTTTGGGGCAGCGTGGAGCCCACCTCTGATCGGGATGGTGCTGCAAAACACCCCTGTAGCAACCTGGGCTGATGGCCCGAGCCCAATGATGACCCCACAGCAGGGCTTGTGCCCTCTTCCCCGGTGCCAGTCTGGGCCCCTCCAGGCAGCCTCTCTGTGCAGGAGGTGGGTGAGGACCAGCTGCCCGGACTGGGGGTGCTCGAGGGGCTGCCTCAGTCCCCCACCTGAACGTTGCTCCCGTTGATGTGCATGCGGCGGATCATGCTGCCCTGCGTGGTGACATCTGTCCAGTAGATCATCTGCTCCCGATAGTCGAAATCCAGAGCCACCGCGTTGTTAAGCCCCTGGGAGGAAGGGAGAAGCGTTGAAACAGCCTCACCTGCTAGCACAGGGTCACGGGGGCTTTAGAAAGACCCGTGAGCCCCCAGCCTCAACTCCCGGTCCCTGCAGCAGAGAAGTTAAAAGCACCTACAGACCACTGTTGCGCAGCCCCTACCTTATAAAGGTCTGCTACCAAAGAGCTACTGTTTACATAGGACCTCCTGTGTACTCCTAGTGAGAGCTGCTGTTTACACAGGATCTACCATCTGCCTGGGAAGTCAAGAGCCCAAACTCCCAGGCTGGCAGTCTCCTGCCCTGCAGGGCCCCTCTCCAACCCTGAACCCCCGGCCACGTGGGGCTGGTGCCCCCTCCCGCTCCCAGCTCCCCCCGCACCTGCTTGAGCAGCGTGTAGTTGGAGCCATCCAGGTTGAGCTTCCTCAGGTAGTATCGGTTGGCAAAGATGAGGAAGGGCTCTTCATCTGCACAGGGAAACCACAAGACGTGTCAGGGAAGCGCCACTGGGACGTGGGCAGATCCCCTGCGGACCTGCCGCCCTCCCTGCCCTGCTGCTTCCCGGCTCTCCTTCATGAGTCAGGTGCAGCTACTTCGCCTTGCGGAGCACCGCGACCGACTCCAAGGCCAGCAGCATCCCACAGTCGCCAGAAGAGCATCCCTGCCTCCAAAGCCTGCTCTTGGCTCTCACCTGTGACAGCTTTACAGCTGGTGGGGTTGTCAGGTTTGAGCTTGTAGCCCTCTATGCACAGGCACTTGTAGCTACCCAGGGTGTTGATGCACTTCTGGCTGCAGGGGTAGGTGGTGGAGCACTCATCGATGTCAATGCACGTCTTCCCGTCATCCTTCAGCCGGAACCCGGGACGGCATCTACACTGCAGGAGGCAACCCGGAGCTGTTAGACATATCCAGGGCCCGCACACTGGGACATGACAGGCATCACCACGGGACAAGCGGGCTCAGCACAGACAGCTTGCAGACGGAAGAGCAGCACACGCAAGCAGAGGCCAAAAGTGCCCGCGTGTGCATCCCCTGCCCAGCTGGCGCAGGACAGAAGCACCCTCACGCTAAGAGTGCCTGTGGAGGAGGAACGGAGTGGGAGAGCATCCCTCCAGTCGACCCTCCCGGCCTGCGGGCCCCTACCTTGT